GTGTGTGTGCGGATACAAATTTTCGTCGACGATTTCGGGAACACGGATGAAGCGATTTGAATAATTAAAAAAACATTCGATTCGTATTGATAAGGAGACGTGCTTATTAGTTTTTGGCGAAGGCAGGTCTAGCCGTTCCGAAGACATGGGGCAAAAAGTGCCAAAAACGGTAACTCAGTTTTTAAGAGAACGGAGCGTCCGATTTGAATAATTCAAAAAACATTTTACTTGTATTAACAAGATGAAAAACTAATCAAATTTTCATGAAAAATTTTTAGTTTCTCAAAAATCTAATTTTTTCAGAGTATTTTTTTTTTCAAAAATGTTAATCTTTTTTTAAAAAAAAATCATTTTTGGTACGGAAAGTTCCAGCAATTTGCCGTGCGCCCCACTAGTTAATAAACTTTTTTGTTGAACCTAATTTTCAATTTTTTTTTCTTTGAGTATGTATATGATGTTTATATAAAAACTTTTTATAAATTTTAAAACCTTTTGTCAATTGATACTAGAACATCTAAATCTTGTAAAACAGTTTTTGTATGAAAAGTTTTATTAAATAATTGGACTGCTGAGTTTTTTGTGCAAGTTTCTGCATTCATATTTATATACAACTCATAACTATAAATCATAATGAATTTAATTAAACAAATTTATTGGCATCAAGATATTTGACTCAATTTTATACAAAAATAAAGGTTACAGAAAAATTTAATTTGCAAAAAATTAAAAAAAAAATCTTCTAAATTTGTGAAGAGATAGAGATCTTTAAAATAACAAAGTTTATTATTTTGCTCTCAAACCATGAATTTCGATCACAAATCTAGCAAAAGCATTTTTTTAGTCATGTTTTTTTTAATTAAAATGTTTTATTGGGTAACTCTTAGAGTTTTCTCATTGTAAATGTAAAATATGCGTTTGATACAATGAATTCTTAGTATACTTTTTTAGTTATTGTCATGAGAAATAGTATTAGGTTTAAATTTACAGCAATAGACAAAATGACATTCAGTATTGAATTATAAAAATACAAATTAGTTTGAATATTCTGTTTACATTATATTGAAAAAACAGATTATTGTTTGTAGTAAGTAAAAGTATAGTCCTAATCGAGTATTTCATACAATATCGTAATTTTTGCTATAAAATGAAGTCAAAAACTTCATTAATAATAACCTTAATATTATATATATCTTTAAAGGTGTAACTTTTAATTGAATAAATATAATTTTATTCTTTATTGATGACTCATTTAACAAGGAATGAAATACTGATACCTTAATTCCACTCAATTTACCCACATGTGGTAAATGTTTTACAAATCAATGCAGCCTAATATTATTTGGTTTTATGAAAATTTCGGTTTATTTTGAAAACTTCATTATCATTTTTACAGTTTTATAGAAGTAAATATTAGTTATAATAATTTTGAGAAACTTTATTGCAAAATAAATCATTGTTGTGGGTAAAGTAGGGTCGTAGTCAAATATATCATATATGAATTATAGTAATAGAAGTCATAAAATTGCTTAATGATTTTTATTTTAAGTACCATTTAGCATTAGTAAATAAATTTTTTTATTGAATAAAAAAATTATTCTCGATTGATAACTCCTTTAACAGGGAATGATATACTGATACCTTAATTCCACTCAATTTACCCACATGTGGTAAATGTTTTACAAACTCGAAAACCTACACCGAAATTTACTATAACTCCTTCAAATTAATTTCAAGGAATGTAACTTGATTTAGCAGTCTTCCTGAGGAGATCAAAGGTTTTGGTTAATTTTAATGGCCCGTTGATTGGGCATTCGACTAATAAACGTTCCTGGTGAATTCGATACCGCAGCTCGTTCGTTTCAAACCGAAAGTAATTACGAGATCCTAAACCACCCAGAAAATAAACAAACAAATAAGAAATTCCAAAGCTAAGCAGTTTCTGGATTTATGGCACTCGAGCATTAAGGAGGAAAAGGAAAAGGTTGGCCGACATCGGCGTTCTTTACAGTACTTAGATCTATAATTATGTGTTATGTTATAATTAATTGTTCTCCTAATTGCTTTAATTGGGTTCTTCCGTGCAACTTAGGAGCTGCGGGAAATATATTTTATTAAATGAAAGTAGCAAAGTAATAAATAATGTCGGTCATAGCTATAAAAACAATAGATTAGAGGTTATATTGTATTTTTCTTGTTTAAAGCGCAATCGGAAAATAAAACTAGTGGGACGCATGGCATCGTGCCTTAAGGCAAATTACTGGTACTTCTTCCCGTGCTAAAAATTATTTTTTTTAAAAAAGATTAAATTTTTTTTAAACTTTGAAAAAATTAGATTTTTGAAAAAATTTAAGTTTTTGAAAAAAAATGTCTGTTTCGAAAAGAAAAGTTTTCTTTATTTTGAAATATTTTGGAAATTTTGAACTTTTTTGCAAAGCAATCGTACTGCATAGAGACGAAATATGGAAGCGCGTAAGCGCCGCGTTGCAGTCTAACGGATGCACAATGTTACGGAACCCATAAAAATGTAAAAAAATTATACGTATTATTAAAATCTCTATAAAATATCTGATTATTCAATATGCCTATGTGTAATGATCATTTTTGACCACCAAATGACATTTTTTATTCACTTGTTCCACCAGGTCTCCGAAACCGATAGACCTGTCTATCCAAAAATCAATCAGTTCTCCATCTTGTTAATACAAGTGAAATGTTTTTTGTATTATTAAAATCAGACGCCCCTTTCTCTTGAAAACTGAGTTACCCATTTTGGCACTTTTTGCCCCGTATCTTCGAAACGGCTAGACCTGCCTTTGCAAAAACTAATCAGCACGTCTCCTGATCAATATGAATCGAATGTCTTTTGAATAACTAAAATCGATTGAACCGTGTGCCCGAAATCGTCGACAAAAATGTATCCGCACAAACATACAGACACACACACACACACTCGTACACACACCCACATCCACTTTTTCTAAGGTATGCCAAAATGCTCAGAAACCTCTAAAACGTAAAGATATATAAATATTTTTATTTTCGATTTTTTTGTAATTATTATAAGGAAGTTAATAACGAATTCGTTGAATTTAAGTGTTTTTTTTAATTGATTCATTGAAATATTTGCAAAAATAATGAAATACAATACTAAACATATTTTGCTTCTTGCTTTGAATTTAGATCTATTACTATTTATCTTTTCAACCTTTAAAATAAATGCACATATATTAAAATCTAATAGTGAAAATCTTTTGTGTCTTGCTCTAAATTTATATATATTGCTACTCATTTTTTCAATCTTTGAAATATTTGCAATTTTTTTTTCATCTTTTATTCTAAATTTATATCTATTACTACTCTTCAACCTTTGACGTAATATTTATTTAAAAATGCATACTAATCAAATTCGTATACTGCATGCAAATGTGCAAATAATAATTCATTAAAATAAACGCATGTTTCACAGTTGCAATGAAAGAACTTTTTGTGAAAAAAATCATTTTAATTAAATCTTTTTTAATATTTTTTGTCTACATCATATGTTCAAAGCAATATTTAGTTTTGCAATTATAATTCTTATTTTGAAATAGAAAATCATAAATAATAAATAATTGTTATTGTAAAGATCTCTGATATGTATAATATTCAGAACATTAGAAGGAATCAATTTAAAATTTTGCAAAAAAAAAATTGTATTGGATAAAGTTTTATGAAAATTTACTCTTGCATGAAATTGAGTCAAATTTCAAATAGTAATATATACATACATTTATACATATACATGCAAATGTGCAAATAACAATGAATTAAAATATACCCATATTTCACAGTTGCAATAGAAATACTATTTAATTTATTTTATTAATTTTTATCTACATCATACGTTTAAAACAATATTTAGTTTCTAGATTGTAATTCTTATTTTGAGATAGAAAATCATAAAAATTGTTATTGTAAAGATCTCTGAGATATAAAATATTCAAACATTTAAAATTTTGTAAAATTTTCATATGGTTCAAAATTTTTTTTAATCTTTATTTTCGCATAAAATTGAGTCAAATTTAGTAAAATAGTAGATTATATTAATATTATTATATAAATTGGTTTTGATAGAACAAAACCATAAAAAACTAGTAATTATTTCTTGATTTAATTGTAAAATTTATTTATTATTTTTATCCTTATCCGTTATTTAAGTACTAAATTAATTATCGGATAATTAATGGAACAGAACCCAGACATTGAAAAAATGAGAATTCCTGAAATCTAATGAACAATTTAATAAATGTCATCACGCGAACCAGAAGTGTTTTAATGACGATTAGAACGCGAGTTCTAACGTTTTTAATTCTGTACGATGTTATGATAATAAAATATCAAAACAAACTTAGCTTTGAAGGAAACTCGGTCATTGCCAATAACATCGAAAACTTTAGATAAACATGTTTTACTTCATACGATGTAAATGTGATATACGATTTTTCATATACATATAAATCATCATCAAAATCTTGTATTTTTATTGCTATCTATAAAATTTGGAATTCAGATCGTTTCATGTAAAACATACAAGATAGGGATGTCTGGACTTTGTTGCAAATTGAATATATTACTTTTATAACTTCTATCAAAACTATAATAGGAAAGAATATTGATTTGTTTTAGTTTGGTGTTAAAAGTGATCCATTGTTAAGACTGCAGTCGCCAAGATAATGATTACTATTGGAAAAGTTTTGTAAGATCAATGGGTGGAAAAACCATGTGGGAAAGAAAAGGACTTACATTGTTTCACTTGAATGCATTGAAAAAATTATGAAAATTTTAATGTTTTTGGAATTTGTTATATTAGTCTTCATCTTCGTTGATTTATAAGAAATGAGTCCTAATGCAAGATTTCTTGCGTGACCTACCCTAATAATTATCCTTTTATATCATTAATTACTATACTTAAATCTGAATCATTATCTTTATTGACACTTAATTTTATTGAAATCTTTCAGAGCACGAATAGCTTGTTCATTTGATGATTTTGGAATAAGTAGAGGTGATCAAGGCGAAAATAGATTTAAGGAAGCAGCTCTAGGCCCTGCTCTTCTTCTACCACTCAGGTAAAATTAACTAACATCGAATAGAATGATTAAACTGAATTATATAACTTCATCTGCCAAATATTTACAGTTGACTGTATCTTATATTATTTTAATTTCTGGCATATCTCACTTTTTGGCAATAATAATGTCGACATTACATTTTTCTTATATATTATATTCTAATATTATTTAGGCTCATAATTTCAGCTAAGTTCAAATTTCAGGTAAATTGACATTTCTAGCAGATGACAGTTCAAATGTTTTCAATGTCAAACAATGAAAAGTGTTTTTTTGTAATCTTTGCTATTTATTTCTACAATATTATTATAGTTTTATTGTTCATTAAATCTTAAAAATTTTCTTTGACAAACTCTAAAAAAATTTATCAAAATCCGAATAACCGTTTAGAAGAAGCATCAAATTATACACCCGTCCAGAAAAATTTTATATATAAGATTAGGATGGTCCTTATTATAAATATTTACAATTTTCTTTACTCCCAAAGGCTCAAATGCTTCCAAATTAATAAAAAAATACTCTGAAAGTTTTAGCTCAATATTAACTTTAAAACAGTTTGCACTCCAACCAAAGTTTCTTGGTTCTACTTGCTAAGTAAATAATTACTTTGTGAAAAATATCAAAATTTTGTTGTGATTTTTCTATTTATGATCAAAATATGCAAATACAATGTTATTCTTAAAATTTTGATTCACTTGTCGCTAAGTTATGAAATTCTAAATGACAAATGGAAATTATTTCCATAAGAAACTTTGGTTGAAATGCGAACTATCATAAAGTTAATGTTAAGAGCTAAAACTTTCAGAGGACTTTTTTCTATGAAATTGGAAGCATTTGTGTCTCTGGAATTAGAAAAATTCGAAAATATCCATATTAAGGACCACCCTAAAATACATATAAATATTGTGTAGCTTGGATATTGATTAGAATTGTTTTACACATCGATAAATTTATGTTGCTTATAGTCGAGTTGGCAACCATAGTTTTATATATATGTAAACAGTTTAATCAACGCAAATATTGCAAAATTAGACTTTTATGAAATTTATTCTTTGTTTTAAATTTCATCTCTCAACCATTCATTTCCAATTAAATGTGCCACTGTAAAACGTGGATTCATAAGGTTAGGTTCATAATATTGAAACAAAAGGTTATATCTTATCTGAATTTTCATGGTCCATAGTTTATTTGATTAATTTAAATTGGCAAACAGATAAAATTATTGTCATTTTAGTTAAAAAAATTGCACCATACAGATCTATTTCATTTGGAACATGAGAGTGTACAAAATCTACAGCTCTAATATCTTCAATTAATTCAATTATTGAAATGGCTTAAAATAATTAAGCAGTTACATAAAACCCTTTGCAATTGACATTTAAATAGTGTGTCATCAAAATCTAATTAAAAACTTCTATCAGAGGAAGCATGAAGGGCGTATTCTCAATTCTTTTTATCGGTAATGTAAATATTCATCAATTGAAGAACTTGCAAAGCCGTTTTGTTCGCTTAATTAAAAGTTTTACAAGCAATATACTAAATCCAATGCACTGATGGAACTATTATAACTTACTCGTGGAACTGAAGTATGTATTTAAAGTTATCGTCGAATTCAATGTTGAGATTTTTAGTCATACAAAAACATTAATTCTGCTTTGTTTAACGCTATGATAATAGTAATGGATAATTGAACCAAAATATTAAGGGATAAAGTGATATTTTTGCGCGAATTATTTCTAACGTTGTGATGCCAAGAAAGTTAGAGAAAATGGCAAAGATGTAAATAATGTGCGAGAGACTACCAATAGTCTTTATAAAATTCTCAATTAACCTTTCCACTCGGATACCGTCGTTCATACAAATTATGCAGTGCGTGAGTGGAAACGGTTACTATATTATTAATTGATCTTTGAATAAAAGTAAAAAATAACTAAAAACCGCTTGATTAAAAATTATTTTTAGTAAAGAATTTACAAAAAAGTGAATATATTTTTTTGTGTAGTTATGCAGTTGGTTGTTCTTTGCATAACAGCAATTTTGTATCAAAGTATTATAAAGATCCATAATGTGTAAAAATACATTTATTAAATGGATTTATTACCTCTCTAAAAATTTCTTATAACAGTATGGAATAGTTGCTATTGATGGCAACTTAAAGGATGTACAATCTCTTCTCATATTTTATTGTCACATAGTTTATATTTGTAGTGCTAGAATTTTATTATAACTTCTACCAGGTTATGATTTCATCAACACTTTCAATTATATTTTAATTGAACTACTGCGCTAACAATATTTAGTCAGAAAAACATGTTGAAACACTTGAAAGTATTAAGACGTCTATGAATTTTCTCCATGTTAGCAAAATTAATTTTGAGATTACAATTTAATTAAGAAAATTTTAACAAAATCTTGTGCTAGCTAAATGTGCTAGCAAAAATGAAGTAAACTCTGATATTTAGAATACTTGAGTCTGGAAATTATTAATTACGCGAAGATAATTTATAGTCACTACTAAACTAATTTAACTATCAACTGTAAGCAAGTAGTTATTTGCGAAACAACATTAAAAGAATTTTATATATGAGATTAGGGTGGTCCTTAATATGAACATTTACAAATTTCTTTGCTCTCAATGGTTTAAGTGTTTCCAAATTGATAAAAAAAAATCTCTGAAAGTTTTAGCTCTTAATATTAACTTTTTAAGTTTCTTGGTTCTTCTTCCTAAGTAAATACTTATTTTGTAAATTATATCAAATTTTAGTTTATATTAAATTTATAATAAATATAAAGTAGGACAAGGTATAAGGGTCCAATTTGATTTTTAGCAATCATACTGTACAAACTAAACTAGTTATATAAAAACTAAGAATTCATATCAAACAACCAGAAATCTAATTATGTCCAAGAAATTCCCAACTAACATCATTTTAGAACTATATTTTACACTATTTTTCAGAAATGTGTGGTCTGATCTTTTTTAGCACATAGGGGGTAAATGGGACAGCCAGAGGGCAAACAGATTCAATTTCAGGATATAACTTTTATGGGCATATTTTTTTACAAAAATCACATTATAACTTTGGTTTGGTGTTTCGTCAAAAATATTCATCAGCAAGTTGGAATAACTATTTATTTAATTTATCTCTTGTAAAATTGCCTTTTTTCAACACAATTTTTATTGTATACTTTTTACTTGTATATTTTTTATTAATATCACTTTTGCCAGAGTAAAGGCTTAGGTAATCCTTGTTATCCCACCCATGTTGTGAATGACTAAACTGCATTCCAATTTGCAGATTGAGATTGGGGCTGTTATTCAAATTTATATTTTTTCTCATAGATTTCTAGGAAGGCGTCCACGTCGTGGAGAACTATCAGCAAATGCTGTCGCCACAGAACAAAAAGCAACAAAGGTCTTAGGCGTAGTCTTCTTCGCCTTCGTCTTCTTGTGGACACCATTCTTCGTCCTCAACATCGTCTTTGCGGCTTGCCCGAATTGTAACGTTCCCGAACGGGTTGCCGACGCCTGCCTATGGCTAGGATACGTCAGTTCTTGTGTAAATCCTTTGATTTACACAATTTTCAATGGAGCTTTCAGAGAAGCATTTTGGAGACTTTTGAAATGCGATTGCAGTAAAAATGAAGGCAGAAGAAGACTGTATAGGGGTACTAACAGCGACAGCAGAATTTGATGACTAAAATGTATTAAACGACGTACAGACAACAAAGTTGGTGATTATGGTTTTTAGTAGAAAATATACTATTTCTATGGATTAATCCATAATCAACACATATGGTAAGACATGCTGCTTTATGAAACCTGGCTGTTCAGGGTTGTAGATAAATTTGTTAGGCATTATATGGTCTATTCCAAATATTTTCATCTAGAGCATTTATCTTCACACAGAACATAAATAAATATGTTGTTTTGTTAAAATGTTTGATGTCCACTACCACCACTGGAGCTTATCATTGATACACAACAGATTGCCAGAATAATGAGTAAAATTTAAATTCTATATGCTGACATCAAAATCTAAATTTACAATAGCTATAAAATTTGCAAATATAAGCTTGCATTACATTAAAATTTTATTCACTATTGGTATCAGAAATTTGCATTTTTCAAGCAATGATAGGCAATGTTTTATATGTCATTTATAATAAACCATTTGAAGTTAATGTTACAGTATTAAATAATGAGTTATATACCAAACAGATGAAACCTGTTCGAAATGAAAACATAACTCATAAATTTTCATAATACATAAATTCAAATGATCCGATTATATAACTAGATTATTAGTATCAATTTTGGGTAATGAACCTTTTTAATTGTTATGATATAATTGTACATTTTTAGCGAAAAGACCTATTTTCATATGAAAAATGGTTATAATTATATTTCAGAAATGAGTTCTGAAATTATCTACAAAAGACTTGACGCCTAAATTTGTATATGTTTGTAAATTTAGAAAGCTAATTTGAATATATCAATCAAGCGTCTCTCAATCGTAGTATTAATTCGGCATAAATAAATTTATATCAATAATAAAAAATCAAATCAAGGAATAATGCATTTTGCTAATAATTTGTTTTATATTTTGCCGATATTTAATCCTAAGAATATATTCTTCAAAATGTGTTTGTTCTATTTCATGATATTATTAGAACATTATCGATGTTTATGAATAAATCGTAGATCGTAGCACCTAGTCAATTTATTTTACTGATAATTTTGTAATTAAATAGTAATCGGACCAGTATTCATTACATGTAATGTATACATTTGTAAGTAGTAGCTTTTAAGTGTATGTTATGTAACATATAAATTAAATATATTTTTGGCCTGGTGCCATACCGTAATTCCGTGATATAATCAAGATATCAGTGTAAATGTATGAAGAAATAAATCATATATGTTAAAGATTAAAAAAGTGGTTTGAATGTCTTTTTTTTAAATACAATGGATGTTGTTATGAATTGCAGATGAAGTTATTATTAACTAAAAATAATAATAAGGAACAATTAATTGAATCATAATGTACGTTAGTAAGATCAAGATTTGTTTTAACTATTGGGTTGGCAACTAATTAAGTGCGGATTTCTCTTAGATAAATTTAATACAATTTTTAGGTTTGATGACGCAGTTCAAATGTAAAAAACCTTCTGTTATTGAATAGTAGCTATCAATCTATAAAAAAAATTTTTTTGGTCCTCCTGTAGTTTTTGTTTTGTTAAAAGATGGGAGATCAAATCCATGTTTGTTCATCATATTTTGCTTTTTATTTTCAGCACATTCAAAAAGGAATTTTCACTGTTTATTTAAAATTTACAGTGTCAAAATATGGGTTTGCAAAATTTTGTTCAGACGATTTTTCACTCAGATATGAAAAATGCTCGATAGTCCAGTTGAAGTTGATTAAAAAAGTAATTGACTATTTTGATCTGTTATCACCAACAGATTGATCAGGTCTGATGTCTACATTACACAACTAATAAAATTAAACAATGTAATTGAAAAAAGCATCCTGAATTGGCAAATCCAAATGGTAATTTATACGTATGTATGTATGTATTTATATCATATATCTTTGGCCACTCGGACAAAAAATTAGAGTTTGATTGAAAAACCTCCATATATGCCTGACCCGATGCCATCTGATTACTTCAAATACTGATCTTCATGAAACTCCTCAAATTAAAAAAAAAACAATAATGATGATTGTGCCAAATTGTACCTGATTCAGATTTTTCCTATTAAAAAGCAGAAATTTCACACCAGAAGTGGGATAATGATGCCTAAAAGTTGAGAGTGACGAATTTAGACAATGCATCTTAAATTAAAGTTATGTAGTTCAACGAAAAGAAGAATGTCTTTGATTTTTTAACAGAAATCTGCACTCACTCATTTACCAACTTGATATTTTTATTGAACGAAATTTTTTTAAACTTTTTCCAACATCAGTTAAACATAGATTTGTGGAAAGCATCAATAAATAATTTAATAGTTTTAATTAAAATTCAATATTTTGTAATTCTACGATGATTTCATTAGACCACAATATTTTTGTACACCTTTAAGTTTTTGTATATAAAATCATGACATACTTAATCTAACTTGGAGCTAATTTGCTCCAATTTATTTGCATAAGGTGATATATTTCATGAAAAACAGTAATATATATATATATATATATATATTTTGTTGTAAATTGTTTTTAAAAACCATTTTGTAGAAATTGTTCAATTAAATTGGAATTTTGACTTTCTACCAAAATATTATCAATTCCAATATAGAACCACTCGTATCACAAAGTGATCAATACAATCCTGTGGCTCCTTTTCAAAAACTACATATTTTTATAAAGCTTCTGTTTTATCGAACACCTGTTGAAAGATTAATAAATTTGAACCGTTTTTGTATATAAATATTACAGATAATACATCAAAAAGTGAACATTTTACACTCGCCGTACGATGACTTATGTGTATGTTGGGATATAAATAGTAAACTGACAGCAATATAAACAGTTTTCTATAAATATAGATCGAAGACGTGTTGACACACACCTTTGAAGATGGACGTTTTATTTTTATAAGATTTTATAATAAATATTGCATTCTCTAGTAATTGATTGGATAAAGCTCTAGCTAAGATAATAATAACAGTAGAATTGTTTGGAAACAGAATATTGTTATTTAATTCTTCTCAATGAGCATCTTGGACTTGTAGGTCAATAACATCTGCTTTATAATCAATTTGGGAAAAATTATTTAAAATGATGTTAGTTAAAATTTTAATTATCATATTTTACAATACGTTTTATGAGGCAAACTTATTTAGTTGTTTATCCAAAGTTCATGTAGTACAAATTCTACAGCTCTCTTATTAAGAAAATATTTATGACTCACATATTGGTCCATGTTAAAAGCATAAATATAATATTTAAAAGTAATTTGTTGAATGAATATTGTTAAAAAATATTAATACACGATGTACGACAAGAAATTGAGTCCCTAAATAATATTGTAATTGAATTGAATCCCTAAATAATATTGAATCCCTAAATAATATTTTACTAAAAATAATTTTTGCCGAAAGTTGTAATTGAACACATGGAGACACTTATGAGTTAAAATAATGACAGTGTAGCGTATTAATGTAGAGAAAGTATAATATAAATTTTAGAACTTATTTTATATAATTTTATTTGCCACTTCTGAAACTTTAATAATAATGCGACATCTGCATTTGATACAAGAGCAAAGTAGCAAACCCAGATTCAAGAGCAAGTTTCAAGATCAAAACAGATGCCGACCTGATTTTCTATTGAAAATATTTATATACAGTAAAAGTAATACAAATACACATTATAAATATATATATATATATATATATATATATATATATATATTTTTATTGGCAGAAAAGCGGAAAACAGAACATAAGTACTGGTTCAAAAAGTCGAAAATAAATATTTAATTATAAAAAAGAACTTTTTATTTAGATATGTTGTCAGGAACACAAATTTCAAACAACAAACCACTGTCATAAGCACGATTATTAAAAGAAAAGGAAATTGAATCAGACCCATTCTGCAAAAAAAATTCCTTCATACAATGTCTTCGTAGGTAAAATAGAAGGATTAAAAGTACTGGAAAAGAAGAAGAGGAATGCAGATGATTGATGACTCAGACAAATAGAGAAAATACAGGAAAATGAAAGGAATAGCAACAAGAAGCATTGAAGCAAAAGTTTTGCAATAAAAATGCCTAAATGTGCATAGAATAGTTAATAATAATAAAGAAATCTAATAGAAATAATAAACAAGAGAATCATTGAATTTTGGTGCTCCTACACCATGAACCTGACTTTGGGCAGAGTACCATTTATTATATATATATATATATATATATATATATTATGTATGTATATTATATTCAGATATACGTATATATACGTGCTCTTAATCTCTGTTACATACATACGTTTGTAATTTTTCTGGGAAAAATTCTACTGTAATACAGATGGATGAGATTGGATTCATATGAATAGTCATGAGGTAGAATAGCTTCAGATGTAAAGACGCTCATTCATCATTATTTATATCTATTTGAACTCGTAGGTACTTTGATAGAAATACACATCTTTCAAAGTAAATGCCATATACATATACGAGTACATATATGAATATAAATATATAACATATACTTTCTTATATGAACATAATAAAAATATCAATAATTTTCTCTAGAAAGATTTTATTAATGACTTTTCCATAGTCCCAATAATATTTCTAATTTATAGTATTTTTTAAATATATTGTAGGCTTGCAATCAAATCAAATTTATGTCTACGCCAATTGGAATCCACTTAATAACAGTGATGTTGCATTAGTATACAAAATTTCTATTTAACAATAAGTAATTTTATATCATAGAGTTTGATGCAATCTTGCATAATTATAGAAAAATTTATTAATTACGAACAATTATAGCATAAGAATATTTTATTGAGGATATTAAATATAATGATATATAAGTAGGTAGTAAATTTAAGTTTATAGTGTATATAATGGATAAATATAAATATTAATTGTAGTTCATAAAATTGGGTAATCACCCTGTATTATTTCATGTGAGAAGGATTGAACTTGAAAATTGTTGAGTGAATAATTAGGGTGTATAT